ACCCAACATAATTTTGTGCACGACCCAATTAACATGAACAAAATGTTTATGGTTCAAGTGCAATGAAAGAGCTCATCCATAAACAACCTAACCTAAATTCTTCGCATCATAATTAGAATCTAGAGATCACAGTTAAGGCAGTAAGCGCCATAGGATCATGAAGTAAGGATTGGAATCTTTATATAAGATAAGGAAACAACGTCGCTACAATGCTACAAGGATGCTCAGAATGCTTTAGATAAAATTTCATGTTAGGGTGGTTAGGTTTAGTTTGGGAGCTAGGATTGTCTACTGAAGAAAATATGCCAAAGAATGAGGAAGAATAACCCCAAGACCATATTCTAGATGTGTGAATGCAAATGAAGCAAAATCAGCATAAACAATGATGATAGACTGAATATTCTAGCAGAAGAAACTTCAAAATACTGATGCAACTACAAGAACGAAGCTAATTCCAAAATCATTTAAATTAACAAGTCATTGATCCAAGTCAAAATTTTCATCCAGCATATATAAAAATGGAAAAGAGTTCATGCGTTAAAACCAGACATTCTAGCTCTTGGAAGCTAGTTTTTCCTTCGCCTTCTGAATCTTCAATACCTTTTTCACAATCTTTTGCTCTTCAACCAAAAAAGCTCTTATAATCCTACAACATCAAGACAAGATCTTTAGAAATGCTCAAGCAACCATCAATACTGAGACGAGAATGCAATGCAGTAATGAACATCAAAGAGTAAACAAACACACCTCTCTCTAACAGCACCGCCAGACAGTACACCACCATAGGCACGGTTTACAGTCCTACGGTTCCTAGCCAGCCTAGACCTCTTGTATTCAGCAGGCCTCAAGTGAGGAATCTGTTAAAGGAAATCAGTATAACATCAGATACAAACAATCAATTAGATTGAAATATTGTGGGAACCAGTTCTAAAATTCACCATAATTTGATCAAAACGAACACCGTGATTGTGAAAAATAAAGGAAATACAAAACAACAATGGCTGCCTGTAAGCCAACAAATTAGCGACTAGTTACACATGAAGAAATCAGGCAGAACATCCGCAAAAACTAGATTGACTACGATGAACATCAAATTCCACAAGCAAAAGAGCATTAGCATACGAGGACATCACAAGTCCACCAGCTAAAACTTACAAAAATTACTCCACAAAATACACAATACTCGAAAACGAAACCTAAAGAAGTTGCCAAAATTCAAATCTACAGCTCTGATGCTAACTTATTCAATGAAAACAATAGGCAAAACAAAAAAAATACGTATACGCACCCCTTGAATTCTCTTTCCAGTTACAGGACATTTAGGACCACTGGCTCTCTTCTTCGTGGTCTGATACACAAGCTTTCCACCTAAGAATCAAACCACACATCATCGACTAAGCAACTAAAACCAGATCTTGCAAATAAATGCAGAAGCATACGAAAAATTCATCAAAACAACGAACGATAAGAGATGTAATTCATAGAATGCTTCATGATACAGAAGAAGAACAATGTCTATTTACCGGGAGTTTTGACGACGCGGTGCTGGTTGGATTTGGTGGCATAGCTGTGCCGCTTACGGTAAGTGAGCCGCTGGACCATCTTCTCCGCTCGTCGGAACCCTCTACTAAAGCTGTTGCCGAAGAATTGTAAGAGGGAACAATGGAACCAACACGAGACTGAAGAATATCGGTATATTAGGGTTTTTCAGTCTCCAATGCCCTGGATCTGACGGATGATATGCGTTTGAATCAACGCTCGCGATCATAAGTTCACAAAAGGGAAAATGATTTTAAAATTAGGTAAATTACAGACTTAAAATCTTTTAATTTTGAGTTTTGTATCTAATAAAATTTAAAATTTCAAACTTTCAATATTTTTTAAGGCATAAAATTTAAATGTGGGTTTAATAAATAAATTTATTTTTTAATTTTTTAATGACATATTAGATACGGACGTTAAATGTAAATGAGACTACCCTAACTTCATTTTTATTGTCTCCACAACGATGTCATTATTGAACTAGGTGTCTTTAAATTTACCTGAAAGTAGAACACGACTTGAGTATTTAAATAAATACTCAATATGTAACATCACTATTGAAGTTCGGAAATGCAATCACATGCCATAATAGTTTTGAACTTTACTTCCCCGTCTGAGAAAAATTGGATATGTAGTACTTCTCTACACACGACCCGTGCAAGTGCACATGGACTCACCGAGCGAGCTTGTATGCGTAGTGTAACAGCCCAGATCCACCGCTAATAGATATTGTTCTCTTTGGGCTTTCCCTTTCGGACTTCCCCCTCAAGGCTTCAAAACGCGTCTGCTATGGGAAGGTTTCATAGCATAACATAATCATATCGTAGTATAATTTATATCATAGCATAAGTCATCGCATAACATAACCCACGTGATACAATTATAAAACATGACACGTGTAGAGGTCGCAGGTCATGCGTCATTCATAAACATACAAATCATCCAACCAAGTCCATGGGTGTCCAACATTAAAGCAACTTATTTGGTCGGCTTAAATCGGAATCACTAATTTATTATTGGCGTTAGTTCGAATCTACTATTCATAATACAATTCAACTTATGTGGGCCCACGAGATCGAGTAGAACACTTTAAAGGACTTAATTCGCCTCATGACATCAATTAATTATCTAACTTAGCTTAAGCTTAATTTTAATCGGAATCACTAAACTCTTCCACTAATGTCAAAAATGGCCTCAAAAGGGTAAGGAAATGGTAAGAAAGGGCCTAAAGCAGTGGAATGAGACCCAAATTGAGCCAATCGAGTAGAATAAGTCGATTGAATCGAGTGTCATTGGCGTACATTTTCAACCATGTGTCGTCATGATCTTAAGAGACTCGTGACAAGTCTTAAAGAGAACCTAAGCCTAATACACATTTTTTGTCCAACTTTGTAGCTTTATCGAACCTTAGGCAAGGTTTTCCTAGAACACATTAAATATTTCAAACACTACTTTTTCATTCAATTAAATTAAACATTTTAGTGTTACCATCCGTTAGCAAGGGGATCTTATGTACATACATAATATTAGTTCCAATGATACAAAATTAATTAGCTAAACTCTTTAATTAACCAATTTCATTCATTAGAACCCTACAAAAACGGGTATAAGGTGGGGAATCTATTGGTTATTCTCAAATAGCTTATGAACCTAGCTACCGTGGCATTTAGTTATAGGATATGATTGGTTAGAGCCTATGAGTAGGTTGTTTATCGATTGTTTTTATTATACCCATTCATGCAAATGTTCCTTTTATCAAGTTGAATCATAATTATGCAACTAGATTCAAGATCATGTGTATGGTGTTCATTAAGAATAAAGCCTGAAATTCAATTATTTAATTTTTAATAATAATTTTACTTATTTTTATTATATGAAAATTTGATTACCAAAGGAGAAGATTACGTTTATTAAGTAATTATTACAAATAATTTGATTTAATTATTCGTGTGAAGACATATAAGTAGAGACGAATAAACTACAAAATATTCAATCTCTCTCTATAAATCCGCTAAGTAAAAAGATTATTATTTCACAACATGATCATATGCGATTCAATTTTAATCTAGAATGAGTTACGAACAACACTCCAAACACGAACATATTAAATTCAAAGGTCTCGAAATTCAGGTAAAACAACTCACCACTCCAAACATATTACTCCAAGCATAAACTTATTATGACTAAACAACTGACTTCATAACTCAACAACTTAGCACCCGAAATGCCATAGAACATACAAACTACATAGAAAATTAGCCATAAAAAACTTTCAAGGATTGTCAATAGCAGAAATTGAGCAAAAGAGAACAAGAATAAGCTTCATTCATCGACATCTCAAAGAATCTTCGCATCAGATTGTGATAGTTTATTACATGAGCTTCATCTGCAGAATCCATAGTAAATGTTCGAGTGAGTAAAGCTTAATGAAGAAAAATCTTAACGTTTTCAATGTCTAGACATTAGGACATGCGCTGCTGTTCATTCTTCATACCATTCTGATAGCTTTCAAGAAAAAAGACAGCATTGCTTGGTTCAATATTGACCCTCAAAGCCTATTTTCTAGAAAGTATATAAATCGAACCATATACACAAATACAAATCTCCGAACAAAAAGTAGTATAAAATGATTGAATACTTGGAGAGGGCAGGAGCATTTAAATCGAATGAGAAACATGTTAGAAATCACAAATCTACACAATGGTATGATATTGTCCACTTTGAGCGTAAGCTCTCATAGCTTTGTTTTGGGCTTCCCCAAAAGACTTCATCATACTACTAAAGATGTATTCCTTGCTTATAAACTCATGATCATTCCCAAAATTAGTCAATGAGAGACTCCCTCCCAACAATCCTCGACTCGAACGAAGTATATCATAGAGCCTCCCCTGAGGCCTATAGAGCCCTCAAACAGCCTCTCATTAGTTGAGGCTCGACTCCTTTGAAGCCCTCGAACAAAGTACACCCTTTATTTGACACTTCAGTCACTTTTGACTACACCTTCGAAGCTCACAATTCTTTGTTCGACATTTGAGGATTCTATTGATATGACTAAGTTTAGGGCATGACTTTGATACCATGTTAGGAATCACGAATCTCCACAATGATATGATATTGTCCACGTTGAGTGTAAGTTCTCATGGCTTTGCTTTGGACTTTCCCCAAAAAGCCTAGCCCAGGTACGACTCCCGCCTAGGGATCCTCAACAAAAGTATGTAAAAAAAGTATGTAATAAGGAAGCAATTGCGGATCAGAGAGAAGTACATAAAGTGAAATTACCTTAACGTAGTCTGTCATGTTGGTTGGAAAAAAAAAATGAAAGCGGAGAAGTCTCAAACCTCGGTCGGTCATTGACGTGAATCCCATGTTCTTCACTTCCAGATTTAGAATCTGACGAAATTGAAACAGCTTGACATGTCTATTCTAAAAATTGGCCTTTCTGATTTAGAAAATCTGAATTTGCTTTTCAAACATGAGCCCACCAAAGATGTACTCAACGAATCCATTTTATCCAATATGTTTTAAAACACAAAGATGAATCCAAGGAACATAACCTACAGGTCTTTCCATCCCTGCCTCCTACAGGGATATCAAGTAATCTAAAGCTACCGTTGACAAATCGTTGACAAGACTAACAATCTGTATGTACACCAATGACTAACATTTTCCTTTATAAATCCAGTGCATACGATATACAATTACCAGTCACATTGGGCGACTCCATCCTACGAGGAGTATCAGGGGCAGTTGCCAGTTTCTGCAGCAAAATCCGAACATTCCCTTTGCAAGTATGCTAGCACGAACCACCGTGTGGGGCAGGGAGTGAGAGAAAGAAAGGCCGAATTAATTATCGTCAACTTTCTGCTTCTTCCAACGGTATGCAGCTTCGAGGATCTTGAGATTTGTAGTTTGAGTTTCTTCAGGGAACAAGTAATCTATGTATTCCTCGAAACTGCCAAAGAAAAAAATTTAACATGAGCAAACGAAAATATCACGAAAGGAATTAACACTACCGCACCGTGCACAGGCAGCAAATTTCTTTTAGATGGACGGATGAAACAAGAATGAGATAAAGCAATCTTGATCTTTTTCGTTTGTTGCAGGAGATAACAGAAATGGTAAAAACAGTTCTACAACTTCAAAATTAAACAGTATATAGAATCTAATTTGACAACAAGTCAAACTGGATAACAACTGATCCATGACATAAATATTTAGTCACATACCCGGCGGGACCGTCCTCACTAGCAATTTGACGCCTCTTCTTAAGCTTCTTTGGAAGCTTGGATTGCACTAAGCTGACATCACCAAGTTCGCCGAAACTCGTCTCCATATTCAACCATTCCTCAAGGAGCATAGCTCTCTCCTCTTTTAACTCTGGCGCAGAATTTCGGTAGTAAGTAATAGCTTTTTCGAAGACCCCTGAAGCATGAAACTATGTTAGACTTCTATTATGATTGAGGGATGACATACCAAAACTAGTGATCTTGAAAAAATACGATAGAGAAGGGTTTCCTTACTTCTAGCCTGTTGAATACATTGTTGCTTCCGTGCACGAAGATATTCCTGCACTTTGTCTTCTGGTAATTCCGAAAGCTGGCTGTCATCCTCCATTGCTGATGCCTCATACTTGGCATAACTGATCCACACTTTCAAGTGTTTTGTTCTGTCTAGAAGTCTCTCATACAGCTCTCTCGTTCTTTCAAATTCATGCTCGGATATCTCAAAATCAATGTAGGCCTACATCAAACAATAAAATAAGACTCATTTCAACCCCTAACAATCAAGTCAATAAACAAGTATTTTTGTTAGCAAGATGTAAAATAGAGGGAAAACATGCAGATAAGAACAATTTGACGTCCACATTCATAGGCGTCCAGGACATCAGCTTACATCTTTTCAGGTAAGCTAAACTCTACAGCAAACCTAAAAGTACATACACCAGACTCTGAAAGTTCAACGTGGAAAAAGCCGTCAAGGTAAGGAATAAATTATTATCATATCATTGTAACATTTTTAATCTAACTTGACAGCTCTTCACACATTTCTAGGATTATAGTGTTTAATAAGTTCAAGTCCATATATCATAAGGTAATTCATGCGCCCATCCTGAAAGTTGAATTTGTTAAAATCCTTTTTCAAGTCAGGTTGTCGATCATGTAATAACTTGGGGCAATTGAAAATTTGCAATTCTCTTCCGTTTGTATTATGAGGGACCCTATTTGCACATAACCTTGTGAAGAGAGAAATATTAGTAGCTCCAACAAAACTGAGCTGAATAAACTATGCAAGAAAGATAAAGAGTCAAAACTGCTGAATGAAGAGGCAAAATAGATCCAAGAAGTCTGATATTCTAGACGAGTGAAAGCACTCGACAACCTAAAGGAATAATTGCTGAAGTACCTTCCACAATAACTCTGGCATATCCAGCGCAGGCTGTGCAATAGCGAGCTCAAATATAGACCTGGCACGCTCAGTTTCACACAGAGATCTCTCCAATTCTGCATACTTGCTCCATGCATAACAATTTTCAGGTGACCACACCAAATACTTCTCATATAGTTTACGGCATCTATCTATATTTCCCAGCTGCAGCTCTATCTCTATGTACTTTTTGAATATCTGTTATAAAATAAAGTAATAAAATGAACCTTCCAACAAATGAGATAATATTTCAGAAAAATAAAAGAGAAAATAAATCTACACCTTACCTTATCTTTAGGAGCCCTCCCAATTGCATTCCCTAGAATTTGTCGTGCACCATTAAGGTTCAACTGTCGTATTTCAAACTGTGCAGCCAATAGCCAAATCTTTGCAAATGAAAACTTCGCATGAGGAATCAAATTTAGACACTCCCTGCGAAAATTTATACCGAATGAAATAACTTTTATGTATATTGCACATTGGACTTTTTGAAGAGTAACGCAATGTGCGTTCAAACACTTAGAAGATTGCAAGGAATAACATAAAGCAAAAGGAAACTTTATCGTTTTGAAAATGATAAGATTCAGCATATCTTGGACAGGAATGTGAATTTTAGATCATAGACAGCAAAAGGAAACTTTATCGTTTAAAAAATTTCCCGCCTTAATAGAAGTCATCAAGAATTACGGTGAACATGGGTGGATTCAAACTGCTAGTACAAGCAAAAGTTGAAAAATAACAGAGATTTTGATATTTCAATATGCAGATATTACTAGTCAAAGACATTAAAAGACAAACGCAATCATACAGGCTTAGATGAAATGAATAAAATCTAAAATCAATTACAAGTTATAGCAATTTAGTATTATCAAATAGTTCTAGCACTATATAACAGTTTCAGATATCCCACTGTACCAGAAAAACAACTAAAGATAATAACAACATCTTAGAGATTTTCTTTCCTTCATTCTCAACAAGTGTTCCTCTTCATAAATAAATATCATCTTAGAATTTTCATAAATCGACACCACAAAAGTTCACCATACCTATAGACATCACGGGTACGCTCGACATCTGCAGCATCCAGTTCTTCATATAGTGCATAATTGATCCTAAATTGGATAGAAACAAACAGTTAGCAAATATTTGTAAAATCTGTATGATCAAAACCAAATTGGAGAAGATAAACATAGAATGCCTTCCTTGATGTTCTTACCATAAATAAATATAACGCTGCCAGTACCGTTTCTCTTCAGCTGGAGGAACATTGGATATTGCTCTTTCATACACTTCCCTGATCCTCTCCTTGTTCCCTGCAGTCTCCTCCAATCTTATATAATCAAACCAAGAATCATAATTTAGGGGATTCTTCCTCACTTCCTCTTCATATTGAAATCTCCTCTTCCCCACTATAGCATCTTCTATTCCTTCCTTATCCCCGTATTGCTTCTCAAATGCCACAAACTTCCTGTAGAGATCCTCCGCCCTACCTTTGGGGATATGATCTAGAGCAAATTTATATATACACCGTGCCCGTTCTGTTTCCTTACACCTCTCCTCAAATTCAGCAAAAGCAACAAACAGTTGCTCTGCCTCTTCATCATCAGCTAACTTCTCAACGGCTCTCTCATAAACATTTCTTGCTTTTGTAATTTCCCCATTTTTCATCTCGAATTTGGCAAATCGTATCCATGCCCCAACTTTGGGGTGGCACTGAACAAAGCGCTCAAATATGCCTCGGGCACGTTCAACCTCATTGTATCTCAATTCAAACTTGATGTAAGAGAGCCAACCTTGCTGGTCCGGCATCCAGCCCATCCACCTCTCAAAAACCTGCCTTGCACCAGCAACATTACCCAACATTTCCTCCATGTGAATGTACTTGTACCATAGTTGGTCCACTCTAGGCAAGAGGGTAACTGCTCGATCCCAAACATTCCTTGCATGATTGATAAATTTATTCTTCATCTCAACCTCTGCATACTTGAGCCAAAGGGTATGGTTTCGATAATCGACCTCAAGGGCACGCTCCCAAACCGAACGAGCCCGATTGAAGTCCTTCTGAGACTCTTCCCACTGAGCATACTTGATCCAAACACTAACGTTCCACCTGACACGGCGTATAAGGTCTTCAAACTCCTTCCGCTTGCGAAGACGATAATCAGCTAGTTCAGTCGGATCTGTAATTTTCTGCTTGGGTGGTCTAATTTCTGCCTCCTGCCGTTCCCGAGCCTCGCGAAGTATCTGCTCTGCAGTTATCTGAATTGGAGCAGGAGTCTTGTTCTTCACCCTGGTGGGTCGCGGCAACTTCACCTCTGCATCCTTTCGAGTGAGGTAGCCCAGGGTTGGATCCGCATCTTTGGATGAAGACATTATGTCTCCTACAGAGAAGGTGCCTTCTTCCCAGTAAAAAAAAATTGAAGAAAAAAAAAGTTATAGCAACAACAACAGAAAAGTGGATCATCCAATTTCCAAATACAAAGAGAAGATCCAAAAACAGAATCCAAATGTACGTTAAAATCTGTGGTCAATAATAGAGGGAGTGTGAAAATTTCCAAGCATACCATCTTGGCTATTCAACGAAACACAAAACTGTTACCACTGCAATTACCCCTAAAAGGCTCAATCCTAAATTTTCAACGGCTTATTTTTTAAAATATGGATACGAACAGGATTCGTTTCTATCCTATTTTGGTCCCAACTTTCATGATTACTTCAATTTAGTGCCTTAACCAATTGATTTATTTGTCTCTAAAACTTAATTGAGTGTAAGCAGGTATGTCTTCCAACCAGGGGTTTCCAAAGTGTCTTAATTTTCTACTCCATGTGTGAAGAGAATAAAGCAACAAACAAACAGAAATTAAAATAAAACAAAACCTTGGGGATCTGGAGAATGAGCAGCAGCGACGCGATCTCACCAACGACACGGTTTAGAGGCTGAAGAAAAAGAAAAAAACAGAAACCGTTGCTCGTGGTTCTAGGCTAGGCGCCCTTGCTCGTGGGTAACCAACACCGTGCCGCGATGCCTTGATTGCAGAACAGAACACACGCGTGTGAGGATGGGTCACGCCGGAGAAAAGCTGCTCGAGTCCACCGCTACTGCGCGTAGGTAGCAAGTCGCCCGAAGGCTTCGTGGGTCGCCACACGCTGGAGGTCGTAGCGGGGGTTTTCGCGTCGACCGTCGACTGGAATGGGGGAGGGTAAACAGCGAAGGATGAAAGATTGAGATGTATACGAGGGTTTCCTTTCTCCGTAGTTTCTTTTCATTTTAATTTTGGAAACTCTAAATTATTTGATGAATCAATTTTTAATTTTCATTTTATCAAATTAAAATTTTTAATTAGAGATATCCAGTAATAATAAGTTTTCACTTTTTAATATAATATTTATAAAAAATTGTAAAAGAATCCTAATAAAATATTTCATAAAATATATATATATATATATATATATATATATATATTCTTTTTTTTTTTTTAAATCAAATTTTAATATTATTTGGTAGTTTATCTACAGTAATTTAAATATTATAATTAGAGTTCCAAAATTAACTAACTTATTTTTTTAATATATATATTAATATGTGTTGACAGTATATTTATACTAAACCAGTGATGGATAGAAAATGTTTCCTACTCTCTCTCATTCTTTGTTTAAACCGGAATCTCTTCTGATTGAAATTCCCTCCCCGATCGTCTCCATAGGTCCCGCTCCCCGATCGTCTCCATAGGTCTCGCTACATCTCTACTAGCTTCAAATGGAGTAACGTGTATATAACAAGATAATCTAGATCTTATTTTTTCGATTATGTTGTTTTTATGTTTTTTGACATTTTAAATCTAAATATTTTATTTTACAATAAATTGTTAAATTAAATTCCCAAAATTGCAATTATTTGAAATTTCATTTGAGAATTTTAGCGTTTGCGATCCATCTAATAGCTTCTAATATTTCAAGTTGAACATCCTATGCTTAAATAGCGTTTTTTTTTGTAGATTTTTTATAACGTTTTTTTTTTCTTTTTCTGTAGGTTACATATGACTTTATTAAAAGTATATACATTTTTATAGCGTTTTTTTAATAGCTATAATAGAGGCTATAACAAAGTAGGAAAGTATGGTTTACGTACGTTGTTATTATGAAAACATCTGACAGAGTTATTTTAATTAAGTTAAAAATACCACGTTATTTTTAATTTATAATAATATCTTTGAAACGCTATAAAATTTATAGCTTTAATATTATGTTATAATAAAATTATTTAATCATTCATAATTGCTATAATGATGGCTGACACTTTTCATAACATTTATTGTAACAACTCCAAACCATACGAACACTTTAAATTAAATATATTTTTTCCTATTATATTTAATATATTAAATAAAAATGTGAAACTTTTCAAACAAATTTTCAATTAAATTGAATATTTTAATAATATTACGAGCAAACAAAAGACCTTATGAACTTATAAATTATGGATGCACTTTTATGTACTATGAGACAAATTATATTCATTGATATGATCATTATAAGCAAGCGATTTTTCACGAGTTGTTCGTAATTATAGTTGGATCAAAAGTTTGTTTTATCTTTGTAACTATACATTTTGTCCCCTTACATATTACTGACTCTCTAATTAATCATTTGTTTACAGTCTAATCATAGGCAAGTAAGACAGTGGAGTCTCATTATTAAAGTCTCAAAATAACACTTAAGAAAACAACTCATCTACTTACCCTATGGGAATGAGAGAATTTCATCTAATGAAATTACGTTCCCAACTCCATATTTGGTCAAATCCCTAAAATGGTAGACATATTGAATTAGCTATAAAAACCATTCACAAGTCTTCACATACAATAGTACATAACTCATTCATGGTCAATATCGAGTCGGATGATCCTCATGTGAAATATTAATTTTTTTAATTAACAAATTTATAAAAGATATTAAATATTTTGTGTATATATACAAACTCATTATATAAAATACCCTAACTGACATATATTCACAGGATGATTTGGATTAAATTATTTGTAGCAATTATATTAGTAATGTTACTAGGATAAGACATCCAACCTTATCTAATTTGCTATAAATCGGTTAGTACTATGTTTCATAAATACTAATAAACTTTAAAAAATAACATTAAAAAATTTGAAAAATAAAATGTAAACAGACTATATATATATATTTATTTATTTTTATTAATTTAGGATAATTCTATCGCGTAAAAGACCTGAAAACACGATCCATGAAAACTGAATGTTTAGTTCGGTACAATTTTGGTCTTGATTTGGACGAAGGCAACTCATGTAATGAAACTAAGCGAAAGATCAAATAAATTGATGAAGGGGGAAACTACCTTTTGTTACTCCCATAATTCATCTCCCTACTTTGCTCCACCTTTACTTCGCTGACGAATCGCGAGAATATGAATCCGGCATACATCACAATGGCTCCGATTCTGTCGGAAAATGGCGTCGAAGGAGACGACGAGAGGGAGGAGGAGGAGGAGGAGGAGGAGGAGGAAGAAGAAGAAGAGGAAGAAGAAGAAATGGCGGACGATGAGGAGGAGGAGGAGGAGGAGCCGAGGCTCAAGTATCAGAGAATGGGAGGAAGCGTACCATCTTTGCTGGCTAGTGATGCCGCCTCGTGCCTTGTTGTTGCGGAGAGGATGATCGCGCTTGGGACTCACGCCGGCACCGTTCATATTCTTGACTTTCTCGGGAATCAGGTTGGCTTCTTTTGTTTGAATCTGTGCTGAAATGTGTTTCTTCTTCTTCTTCTTCTTCTTCTTCTTATTTTCTTTTTGGAAATTGGTTGTGCAATTGGCTCCAGTTCTTGTAAAATTTGAGATTATGATAGCTCTTTCGAAGTCTTTGAATCTGCCTCAATTTCGCGCTATCGGATTAGTTGCTGATTTACAGACCTGAGCTGCGGGTTTTCCATGTATCCTATTCCTATCTATATGCTTTGCTTCCCAAATAATCTTAATCAGACTGTACTTTGTGGTAGTGAACAAAATGTATCGATGATCAAACTATGACATCTTGTGGTTTACTAGTTCCCATGATTTTACTTTTCATTAGGTATTAGCGTGGAACGTTTTCATCGATAACCGTCGGATTTTTTTGCTACACATGCTAATCCTGTGATGTGTGTACTCGATTTTGTTTTTCCAGGTTAAGGAATTTCGTGCTCATACTGCCATAGTCAACGATCTCAGCTTTGATACAGAAGGTGAATATGTAGGCAGTTGTTCGGATGATGGTTCGGTTGTAATAAATAGTCTGTTCACTGATGAGAGAATGAGGTTTGAGTATCATCGCCCGATGAAGGCAATTGCATTGGACCCAGATTATGCAAAGAAAACTTCTAGGAGATTTGCAGCAGGTGGTCTAGCGGGCCATTTGTATCTTAATTCAAAGAAATGGCTAGGATATAAAGATCAGGTTCTTAACATTTTATTTGCCACACTAGTTGAGAAATATTCCTTGTATCAGACGACTAGTTTCTCATTGCTAAGTTCGCTTGCATTTGTAGGTCTTGCATTCTGGTGAGGGTCCAATACACGCAGTAAAATGGAGAACAAGCCTTATTGCTTGGGCAAATGATGCTGGCGTAAAGGTGTATGATGCTGCAAATGATCAGCGAATTACTTTCATTGAAAGACCAAGAGGAAGCCCACGTCCTGAACTTCTGCTCCCTCAGCTAGTTTGGCAGGTTAGTTAAAATTTTATGATGTTGTTGACATACTGTACTGTACCAAGAAAGTATCTGAATTGGATGCTACTGCAGCTGCTTGAGAACTCTAGTTGCTACTGACCCCAATTTGTTTTTTTGTAAGAAAAAAATTGTAGTTAAAAACCCAAAAAATATAAGAGGGAGATTGTGACATCCTTCAGAAAATAAAGAAAAAGATTTAGAAGAAAGCTTGCCCATTAGTTTACATACGTATCAATATATATGACGAACGCATAAAATCTCAATGATTATGTCATTAAGGCTTGTAGGAAAAGAAAAAAGGCTCACATCTAGAAGCCAAAATAACTACACTATGTACAATCTCCTCCTCATCTCCACATTTATTTTTAAAAGATGCGTATTCCTCTCAAGCCATGTCTCAAACAGAAACAATAGCCACAGTGGTATGCTGAAGGGCATTTTTTGTAATTAAATTTTGGTCTTTTGAATTTCCAGTGTGAGCAGAGATTTTAATGTGTCTAAAGAACTCTTGTTCTTGAACACTGATGGAACTTTTTCAAATATCAAGAAGAAGTTTGTTTCTTTTATACAAAAAAAGAAAAAAAAGAAAAAATCTTGTTTCCAAATTTAAAGGTTAGTGTTAGTCAATTATTTGATCCATGAACTTTTCAAATAACTATTTATTTTTCTTTTCTTTAAAAAAGTTGCATTTAGTTAACTAGGGCTAGAAAAATGATACGTTCTCTCCACTATTCATTTTCTAGGAATAAAATATGTAATTTTTTGTTTTCTTTTCTTGAAATAAAATACCTCTGTTAGTAAGAATAAAAAGAAAAAATTATGTATTATTATTATTATTTTTTTACTGTGGCTACATTTTTTTTCTGGCTTTCTTTAGGAAACTTGGCTAGAAAGGAGGCAATTTTTTATTTTTATTTTTTTAAGATAAGGAGCCCTCTTTTGATAGGATTTTTTGATGCTATTATATATTTGACAATTGCTTGGTGTGAATCCACTCCTATTTTTCATGATCATAGTTTATCTTCTCTTTTATCCAATTGGAGAGGCCTTATGTAACTCCTTGGGAGAGTGGACTTTTTACATTTTCTTGTGTGATTTCATACCATCTATGAAATTGTTTCTTATTAAAAAAAAAAAAAAAAAAAAAAAAAAAAAAAAAAAAAAAAAAAAAAAAAAAAAAAAAAAAAAAAAAAAAAGAAAAAAGAAAAGAAAAAGAAAAAAAAAGAAAAAGAAAAAGGAAAAGGAAAAAGAATACTTGGATAATTGTATTTTGATTGTGAACTAACCTACGTATTTAAAAAAACAGGCCATTAAGCCTTTTTCTATAGAATCCAGATTAGTAACATTTTCAGTAACTATTTTTTCTTATTGTATTTTCTCTATGTTCATTTAGGATGATACTCAGTTGGTCATTGGCTGGGGAACATCTGTGAAGATTGCATCAATTCGAACAAGCCAGAATAAAACAGCCAATGGAACACAAAATAGTCGGCACGTTCCAATGTCTAGCATGAACCGGGTTGATGTAGTGGCA